GCTTTTAGGAGTCTGTTTCCTCACTCGCTGTCACGGGATTCTTAGCACTGAGTGCTAACGGTTTTGGCTCTATGAAGTTTCTTTTCCGAGTAATCAGTAAACACATCCAGCAGGCTTGGTGTTAGCCAAATAAACTCACCACTTGTTTTCTGCAATAAGTCGGTTTCCGCAGAGTGCATTACGTAACCCGGGATGTTCAACCTGAGCGGTAAACGTGCAGGGTCACTAAATAGCTAAACGGAACAGTAATTTTTCTATTTACTGATGGAGAAAATAAATTTCATAACGATAATAAAATAGGCGTCACGATCTTATCACCTGATGCAATCAATTAATATTTGCCTATCTTAACGTCCTCTAATTCCTTTGAATCATTGCCTGTCCCACAAAAATAAATGTTAAACTAATCATTTATCAATTCAGGTAAATTTTCAGGGGGCCATGTAACTGCCTCAAAAATCAATCCGAACTATTCACCCGTTTTATTCCTATGCTGTCAGTTTCAAGTTTAGTTCACATGAGATTCGTTTGGGCACCCTCAAAAGCTTTCCAGTCCCTAGCTGCTTCGGCAAGCATCTCACACTGAGAAAGCTTATCGCATAAGGTTTAAGGACGGGTCGAACCGCGAACTAGATAGAATATTCGTTCATCTCGCATATGTCAAGGTCACGTCATTGTGTAAGAAATTCTGAACGACGGAGTTGATTCCGTGAGATGTTCCCGATTTTCAACGGGCATACAAGCGTCGAAACATCCAAGTTGCCAATACTGTTTCATTGACCAAATGGTCAAATAACACCACAAATTCGAAGCCCGAAATAAGATAAAACTAAACTTTGCGCCACTCGGAATTGATCCGATGACAACAACATTACACATTTTGAAAATATCCGATACAAACGTAACGTGGACACAATGTGTCATATCCCTGACAATGTTGCATCATGGTTCACCTAGTTCTCTACTCTCGTTGGACAACTCCTTGGCATACGTCCAACACCTCATATGTAAATCTATTTGGTGCATACGTGTCTTCTGAAGCGAACCCATCGTTCATGGTGATCAAATCCGATCAAAGTTTCTTAATTACGGATAATCACATGAATGGTCGGAGACTGGAATGCTTTTATCTCCTCAAAAATTTCGACCCATCAAGATTAGTAAATTTGGTACAATCCATCTGATTGTTCAAAGGCACCAGGGGCACTGTTAATGGTCTTGGGTGCAGACTTCACTCCCTGGGAAGATCGTTAATTGCCCACAAATTGAATGCGTGTATAGAAAAGCCGGGAAAGATTTGCGATGACCGACTAAGAGCACTGGACGGCTGTTTTGCGATTCGAGTCCTGACATAGAGACACAAAAAGTATGAATCGCTGACAAGTCCCAAACTGGAAGAAACAACATCTATCCAGTGCTGTTTGTCGGTCCACAGAAATCTCTCCATCGTTTATAAACTCCTAATCATCATTGACCAGTAAACAATCATCAAACTGCATTTTGACTGCTTTTTGACACTCGTTTACACTACTAGAACATAAGTAATTCTTTTCTTCCTGACTCAAGCACCAATAACATCTACCGGAATGAGAAAGATGATTCTAACTGGAAAATGGAAATTGTAAATCCGATTCACATACATACCACGTTGGAGGAGATGAGTTGATAAACCAAATTTACATTTCGCGCTTCAACTTACAGCACGGGGATATCATCACTATACAGCTTTTTCGGGGGCATTGATGTGTCCACACCGGAATCCTGTCTCATCGGCCCGACTGAGTCCAGTTCGGTCAACGCGGATGGACTGACATTGAACCCGGACTGACGTGCACTGGGTGTGGACGCGACTGACGGCGAGGAGACGGGAGTGGATTGGGTGGCGGAACGGACCGGTGTGCCTTGCGGTTCCTTGATCCCCGACAGATCGGGATGGGACTGTGTGAGAGATCAAGAGAAACAGGTGGGTAGACATCGTACTGTGAAACGAATTCGAGAAGAAATGAGCTCGTACATACAAGTGTACTATTATTATGTATCGTACTCGTAGACGAACATGCGCCAGTTGGGATTACGCGACCTAACATGCTTTCAACCAGAAAACAAAACTCACAAGTTTACACTTGATCTAAAAGTGAACAGTTTGGCAAGTTCGTAAAAAATAAACTCCAGGATCAGTGTTGACTTATACGCGAGCGCAAGTCAAGACTTGCAGTTAATCTGTGCGGTTTTTTGGGGGATTCGAACAGACAGGCGGAACCTGCATGCCCACGTAATCAGCACAGTTAGAGCGAGAGGGAGACAGAGAGAGAGAGAGAGGGCGCAATAGAGCAGAAATGCGGGCAAGAACAAGACCAACTATAGACAACTAGATACTGACTGAAAAACACGTTCGAACAGGGGAAGCGAATAGTTTGCTTGTTGGATAAATGGGTATATATTTTCGTATGCGATAACGTTGACATATTAAAAATGAAGGACTAGAAGCCACTGATAGTGTTGGTGGTGCTGCCTGACTTGAATCCCTACAAAAGAGACAAACAGTGGAGACAAATTTGGGGGTACCAGCTCGTCGTGATTCGTGCTACCACAAACATGCCACAACTTGGTTCGAATAGGAAGGATAGTGGACACAGGTGAGAACTGTAGTAAAACTTACCGCACATAGTAAATCCATTGTTAGTACTAAGCCTGTTCGAGCTCGCTCGTGAGTCGAAACACCTGTTGCACAGTCCGTATCCGGTTGCGGATGAGATTGTTGTTGAATATGATGCGTATGATGTGACTGAGAGAGATGATGTTGTGTCGATTGTGATGGTAATGGTAGTGGTGGCGGCGGTGGTGGATGTTGAGGATAGAGAGGTAGTGCTGGAGGTGGATGTGCAAGAGTCTGTTGGGTCTGTAACGAATGCAATGGAAGATGTTGCTGTTGCGGTTTGTGATGTGACACTGTCCCCGTACCGGTAATCAAATAGGACAATGAACGATCCGCATACGATGCGGCTGCTGATGTGGATGCGGATGATGCGGACGAGGAGGAGGAGGAGGACGACGACGACGACGAGGCGGACGATGAATTGCCGTTGGATAGGGACAGTTCGGCCCCGGTCGAATGCAAGTGTTGATGTGCCAATAACCGATCCGGTTCGGACACGGCGGACAAGACCTCACGGTCCATTGTGAGGTTAGCAAACATCAGCCGAAAGAACAATTCGCTGAATGGCTGACCAGTTTGCTTACTTGTCAACTAGGTTCTCCTCCCCGGGTGCAAGTGTGGCCAATACTATTCGGGGTTCGTTTCGCACAAGGGGTTCTTGGCGGACTCAGTCGACAAACTCTCTCGTTCTTGCTCTCTGTACGTGTGCCTCTGTGTGTGTGTGTGTATGTGTGTATGCAGGCCCAACTGTAGTGAAGAGTTCTTTGGTTCACATACACAACGCAGAGGTGCTCATCGGTATTGGCTACCACCGCGAAAACCATACAAACAGGATGATAGTGGTGAAGACTTTGATCGTCATACGACGGATGGCTGGGTATGAGGGTGGGGCGACCTGACGGAGTGGGAGGGGTTGGATTCAAGTGGACCCATGATAAGGCTAGTTAGTGGCCGCGGCTTTTGAGCGATAGCCGTGGATCATAACTACACACACACACCACGTGCATCGAGAACGCACTCGCATGTAAACGCACCGGTACCTTATATATGCACAAACGTGTGCTTCATATTAAAAAAGGAATGGATGGATGAATGAAATCAGCCATAACTATAGCCAGCACGTGCAGCAGTTCAGGAGTGAAGGGAGAGACTGTTTGTGTGTTTGTTTGTGTGTGTATGTGAGTGTGTTTAAATGAGTATCATAGAGGCCCAGTACACGTGCATACATTCACGTGTACACACACATACATATATATATATATATACACGTGCGTGTGCATACGCCCGCAACAAAAGTTTTCTTCACACACCGTCAGCAGCTCAGTCAGTATACATGTGCGCGTCATGTCTACCACGCTTATGCCTGTACACAGATTCAAGCACAAACACACACACACACAAGCACGCACGCACACCCACACCCGAGTTCAAGATTTCGGAGTCAGGTGGTGGTCAGTGGATATCCACACCCTCGAACCGTTTGATATGTCAGGGGTGAGTTCAGATGGGATGCAAAAACAGCAGTCTAAGAGCCCCGTGTCTTCTGCAACCTGATTGGTCAAACGCCGTGGAGATCTCCTTAACACGCTTTACATTTGCCTGGGGGACGACTGACTGACTGACTGATTGACTGACTGACTGACTGACTGACTGACTGNACTTGGCTCGGCTTGGTTTGGCTAGTTCAACACATATCCTCTTCGCGGAAAACCGAGAGGATGGATTTTGTACACCTGTGCCGACCGGGGTTATACCGATCACCCGAGTTTCTATCATGTTCGTAAAGATGTCTCACTACTACAATTCGCCTTGTCTGACCCCTGTCTCGTTGTCCGTCTTGTTTGCCTACTTACTTGGCAGATCCGATAGAGCATCACACACAAATGTGAAGCGTGAAGTTCCCTTTAGGTCATCAATCCACATGATATGGTCATATGATTCGATTTAAAGTTTTAGTGACCCTTTATCAGAGCTTGTGCTCACCCGCACACACACATCCCCCTTCACACGGGGCATAGCATCAATAGACCTCCGCACCCCTCTCCGTTGTGCGAATCGACGTTTGTTTGGAAAGATGTGCGCTATCAACTTGAACACACAAACACAAACACAAACAAACTCAGAAGCGGAGCAAACATTTTGAGAACCCACCGTATTTTATGG